AGACCAGACGTTGAGGCGTCAATGAAAGTTGGTAGAAGAACTCTGAAGGTAGAATGTCATGACAATTAGTTGAAACCTCAAATAGTGCATTCAACATTTTTCTTTTTTACAGTTTTAATTTATTTTTAATGACAAATGGTCCTGTCGCATTCTAAGCCACTTTCCTGCAAATTATCCCCGCAAAATCCGGCCAAATCACATAATCTGTTCTTTGTCCTGCTGTCCCTGGGCACAAGTGCCAACTGTATTGTCCCGATGCCAAAGACCTCACCACGTGTTGGATAAACATAGAGTTCTCGTTTTTTTTCACGAAATTTCGCCAAACATCTGTCCAAAATGCAGAAATCACACACAACTCGGGGAATCAGTTCTAATGCGCAGTGGAGAGATGGGTTTCTGGGTTGGACAAACTTCATGGAAGAGAGCTGTGTGACTGCATGGAATTGTGTGTCATTTTTTATATGACAAGCCCGTAGCAGAGCACGTACTAAGCTGACACAATGATGCAATCATCACGTGCAGCGTTTGTTTTCCAATTCACATTTTTCCACCGTCGGTTTCCACAAATACCATGTAGATGCCATGGAGAAGGGGTTTTCCCGAATCGAGGGGCTTTGGCCACGCTATTTATGACGAGGATTTTGGGCCAGTTCGACGTGGTACGCCGCCTGCCTGGGTTCTGCGGTTTTGTTCGATTACCGGACAAGAATGCCTGGCCCCCCTCTCGACAGGCGAAACCCTTTCATATTTTAATTGTCGGGAGTCTTCTGTGCGGCAGCTGGCATTGTAAGGCTTAGCAAGGCGGTACGTGACGGGGCCACACGCGCGCCTCTTACAGCCAGGAATTTTTGCAACAAACTGAGAACACTGAGGGAAATTCTGAATATATTTTATACAAGGTTTTATATCAGGGAAGAACATATAAGCAGTACTTTATGACCTTAACTGTAAGATCTCTTAATAAAACCCTATAGAAAAGTCTAGGAAAACTGTAGAGTAGTAAGGATACCAAAGTGCTATCTAAAACCCAAGTTCCTGTCCCCATGTTGGCCAGTGTACTGCCATCCAGATTCATCTGATCTGGCTCTGGGCGAGTGCATTGACTTGGCAATTAAAATTCTACAGATATGCGATACATTAATTACTCGCTTCAATTGAAATGCAAATGCCAAAACTCGCCTCTGGATCTCTCTATACATTCGCCTTAACTTGGCCCAGCTAGCGTGTCTCGGCCGAGTTAAGCATCAGAATAAGAAGAGCTGGAGTCGGAGTCGGAGTTGGAGTCCCAGAGCGAGGGACTAGTTTCCTGGAAAGCAGCGGCGAGATGATTTACAACCAGAAGCGCATTTATTCTGGCCATTTTTCGCTTTCGCAGCGCAGCTCGCAGTAACACACAAAAGTTGACAGTTTATTGATGCTCATAAATTGCGACGTCTGGCAGCAATTAAACCAACACGTCCCCAAGGACATGGCAGGACGTCAGTGATTTGTTTACAGAGATTAGCGCAGAAAAACCGGGAGCAGGGAAAATTTGTGTCAGGTGAGCCAGGTAACCAAACGGGATTCGGGATTCGGGTCTCGGCTTCCTTTAGATTCAGCCAGGCAAAACGTCAAAAAGTGCACTGAATTTATGTCGCAGCGATTTACGACGATTCCCGGGCCTTTTGCGCAATGCTCTGGTCCTCGACCGATTCCTGATTCCTGATCCCTTTTGGCCGAACGGCCGGCCGTTAGTTAGCCAGAATCGTGGGTCGTATATTGGACAGAGAATGGGTTGGGAAAAAGAGTAAACGTCAACGCCTCTATTTGGGTTACGCCCAGAAGCGGCTGGCTGCTTGTCAAACGCCCACAAATCCGAATCGCAATTCCAGGATACTTTTTTTGTAATACTACTAGTAGTAGTAGTTGTTGTTGTTGTAGTTCCTCCCCTGGATGTTTATCCTGGCCATGTGTTGCTGGTCGCCATAAATATTGAAATTTATGTAGTACGCGAAAGGAAGGATGGCCTAACAGGCCAATCACCAAACTCTCGTGTCCTGGCTCCATGGTTTATTAGTATTTATTTGTGGGCCTTTCCATTTCGGCATTGTCAAAGGACTCGTTGTTTTATGACCAAAATGGGAGGCATAAAAAAGCCGAAAACTTAATCCCTGGATTTATTATGTTACGTTACGTTCGGACTCTTGCTGCTGCCACAAAGCAATCTCAATAAGAATTCAAATGACAAGTCAACAAGTATTCCGGTGCTTAATGCATTTGCGCCGCTCCATTTGTCAAAACATGTCAGTGCGGCGGAAAACAATTTAACAACATTTAACCAAAAAGCCAACTTGGCCAATCAACATAAATTTAAAGCCCAGTCGGCCGGCTAAAATGCTAAAATGCTAAACTGCTAAAACTGCCCAAATGGCCATTTGTGTGTGGTGCGGCTGTTTGAAAAGTGAAAGTCTAATGTGGTTCAAATGCTGCTGCTGCTGCTGCTGTTGCTGTGAATACGAATGCGGACCTGGATTGGCACTGCCTTCTGGTACAAGGTATGCGGTATATGGAATGAATATACACAGCCCATGTTGGCCAGGTCCACATGTCCTCCCCCGCCTCGCTGAGCTTGTAATTTTGTGGCGAAAACTTTTATTACGATAGGATTTGTTAGGCCTGGCCAGGCCAGTTAGCCGCCAGAGATCGAAATGCAAATGGCCGAGACAAGCGGCCGGGCATTTTGTTAGACAGAGCGACCAAGTGGGGTCGACGGGCTGCCAAATCAGGTTGAGGCGGCCGCTTTACATACTCCGCTTTCTGGCCATGCTTTTCGCCCAAAACGCTCCAGTTATGTCAAGAGGGAAATAGGAGCAAAAAGCAAAAGCAAAGCCCAAGCTAAAACATGAGGTAACTCAACGGAAAATTGCTTGCCGAGGAAAAAAAAACAGGGAAAAGCGCTGCGTATTTTCCGCAACGCCTTGTAGAGCAAAGTGTTGTAAATGTCCAGCGGCCACAGACACCGCGCTCGTAATCTGTCTTTATTTTTTTGGCCGGACCAACTCTTTCCTCATATGAAAATATTTACGTCTGCAAACGAGGTTCACTGGAAAAGTTTTGGGTATATATTATAGAATTTAAGAGTAAAAGAGTTCAGTCTTTAGCTCTTAGGTTGGACACACTTAGAAAAGCAAACTAACCACTCAAGCGATTGCTAGATTTTTTCAAGTGCGAAGTGTTATTAACTACTAACCGACTCTACAGAGTAACACTTAATGGAAGTAAATTAAATCCACAAGATACCGCTTGCTAATTCCTATTTTGAGTACCAAATCCCATAAAACGTGTAACTTAAACGATGCCCATAAACTTTTCAAACTCTCAATGGCTGGCTACATGAAAATTTCCCAATCTCTCCCACCAACTCAAATTGCAGATCATAAATCTTGGGCTCAACTCCGACGAACATAAAACTGGCCGAGAATTTGATTTGACATATCAATAATTTATAACAAAATTATAGTTTGCATTGCCGAGCCCCAATCACACCACACAGCCATACACAGAGTGAGAGAGTGAGAGACCGGAACTGCTGCCGGCTGGTAATTACCACCAAAAAGTTGGCCATAAAGTGTCGGAGTTGGCCGGAATATCGGCGGGACTCAATGAGTTGTCTATGCCCGGTCCACAATGCGTCGATTAAAATCGGTGTTAAAATTTATGCAACCGAGTTTTTATGCGATTTCTATCGACAACAGCGGTAACAAGTTTTGCCAGATTATTTCTGATGTTGTTGTTGTTGTTGCATTTTCTGGCCATTTTCGGCTGCTGTTCACGTGTGTAATTGTGGCTAAACAAGCAATTTATTGTACCCCATTGCAAATCGGATCAATTCTCTATCACTGCTATACATAAGATAAAACCACAAATGATGCCAGCAATTTCCCATTTTCCATCGGCCTGCTGTTGGCCATCCGAATAAGGCGGCCAAAAAATGTATGGCCATCTGACCGAGCGAATCGACACCTCGGAAACCTCCTGCTCCCTCGATCGGATCGACCAACTACCGTTTGCATGGGGGCTTTATTAATAGAAATAAATCAAGTTTTGTGCACCGACATCAATTAGCCTCGGCCAGAGCAGCCAAATCCATAGCTAACTGCTTGGTTCGTTGGCTGGCTGGCTTCCTACCCACTGGCGTCAGATACAAATGTATCTGCATCTTGTTTGTGCCGCGCTGCTGGTTGGCTGGTGTTGCCCCAGTCGTGTTACAGCCGCCACATATGTTAATAATTTGCAAAATGCATTTGTCTGGCGATAACACGCAGGTGATACCGCCGTACATACGGCACCTGAGATCTGTCAGAGCCAATCCCTTCTTCTCGATTCCGCGCCTGGCGCCTGGCTGGGCTGGAGTTTTGCTAGCAATTAGCACAGTCGGATTTGGATACGGATTCGACCTTATCTCGAGGGGGCTTATGAAGCTATCAGAGCGCAAGACTGAGCCGTTGCCAATACACGACCCTGTCATAAGTCAGAAATGAAATCGGACCCCGAACGGGACCCCAATCAATGGGTAGAAGCTGCCTCCATTAGATAAAAATTCACTGGCCCATAGATAAAGCCTTAAACGCAGCGATGCATTCCGGCGATAAGGCGACAGACAGCGGCCAATTCATAATTCTTGAAGTCAGTTTTTGGGGACTACACGGAGAGAAATTCCTATTATGTCGTTCTCGCTTTTTAAAAGAGCATTCAGTGGGATCTTTTATACATTGGAAAAAGTCAATTTGAATGTAGGTTATAGATTGTTGTGTTTAACACTTTCAAAAACCACTTCTCATACCCTTTTTCTTTCTGTGCATCGGCAACAATGTCGCGCAGGCGTAACTCGAAACCAGAAGGGACATACTCGTAAATCGCCGGCCCGGCCGGGAAAGGGAACAAACCCAAAAGCGTACTCAGAACGAGCGCAGCCGAAACGAATATTTCTGGTTTTTATTTCATCGCCCAGCGACAAAGAGGTAGGGAATATTTTTTAATTTATATTTCGTTAATTTTTATATGAAGAGTTGACATCCAGACGCACCGTTCTCGGCCCGATATCTCCACGTTCGTCGCCATCAGCAGCCGCATGCCGTCCTCATCTTGGTCTCCACCATCGTCATCTTGGCCGTTATCGCCCGTTTAGGCAACGCCGCTGGGAGCTCAGACTCCATCCCCATCCTCCATCACCAACTCCAACTCTGATTCCGATTCCGAATTGGGCCCCGACTCAGGCGACTCCAACTCCCATTATGATAAATCATTTTTGTTTTTATTTCTTGACATGTTTTCCTGCTCTCAAGTCATCCAACCTTATCGCTGTCTTTTGTGTGTTCTACCGGAAAAAGTGGTATGTGATCTTAAGTTATATATATAGTATATGTATATATCTAGACACTGAACAAATTTGAAATGGCTATATAGCTTCAATATTCTATATGTATTTCCGAGACAGATCTCAACTTCTTGCGACTTCGCAGCTCATAAAAATAGGAATAAGCCACCATATCGATGTAGATCAATGGAACTGTTAAATGTTTTGTTAAATTAAAAAATAAATTTTTTTAAACAGGTATTTACTTACTTAAGGGCAGGACATACATAAAAAATGTTTCTGTTTCTATGCCATAGAGAATGGCTGTGAACAAATAGAAGAACTCCACTGACAGGGGAACAATTTGTATCAGTAAAAACATGAAGAGAAAAACGTACTTCTTCTGTAGAGAGAACCTTTATAGATATGCTTAGTAAGAGACTAAATATAATCACCATTAAGGTTCCATATAGCAAAATAAGCGCTGCGCTAGTCATCACTATGAAGGAAATCCCCAGGACCCAAAATCCAATAGTTTCCTTTTCAATTTCACGAGAGGTGGCGTGAATATCTGCTCGTTTCGAGTGCTTCATCTGGTAATACATGAAGTAAGCTAAGAGTCCGTAGTAAAACGATAGCCAAAGACCACCTATACAGCAGCCAGTGCGCAGGCTAAAAAAGTAGCAACAGGCGTCTAAGGTAGCCATTTTTATACTTTCTGATTTTTTAACATTTTAAGCAAAGCCATATTGCTGAATTAACTTTACGTTTCTTTGACTTAAATTTAAAACCGATTTCAAGTGCTGATAATTATTGTTTTTCCAGGAATTAAATTAGGTTACAAGTGCCAAATACATTGACCCACCGAAAGGTAAGTAACGTAAACGAACATTTAGGAATTCGTTTTTAACTGGCTTATGATTCATGCGGTGATTCGACCCACCGACCACTGGACTCGAGACAGTTTAAAGACCAAACCTGAAACAAAAACCAACTGATAGCATCGCGGCAAAACGAAATGCCATAAAAAAGACCAAGCCAGAAATTAAGAAATTCATAAGTTCCCTGTGTTTTCCGCTGAAAGATTTTATGTGATTCGACTTGGCTGTGAACGAGGATGTGGATGTGTGGCAAAGAGCTGCAGGCAGAACCAAGATCCCGATGCAGATTGAGATTGGAACTCGGCAGAAGAACTTGTTGAGCACTGTAAGTTGTGGCTACATAAGAAAGATATATATAAGCCATACCATGCCACCGATATACAAATCTGTCGCCCCCACAAAATGCATGGGCGCACTTCGGCACAACGCTAATGTGACACTAAACTGATGTAATAAAAAATCCGCTTATCGCGCTAACAAAGCAGCCCAAAGCAGGCCCAAATAAAAAACTAAATACCTCTGAGACCCCGTCGACAACAATATGAAATTTCATACTGACTGACAGGTCAGCCCACGAACACAAAGAACGGATAAAAGAGTGAATCAAAATCAAATCACATTTCAAATTTCAAATAGAGCGAAGGCTCCGAATGGGGCATAGACGAAGAAGTCGTCGAATTACGGCCAAGTCCCCGAGTGACTTTGATATTCTGCTGTCAGGTGTCCAATTCGAATGTCAATGTCGCCGCCCTGCTTGTCCCCAGAACTTGGCCTCATATGGAAAAAAAAGCAGCGATAAAAAATTTATTAAATTATTATGGCAGAGCAATATTTTTGTAATTTCTCTCCGATCAACGAGGAGGCGGCCTGTGCACACCGCACCTCAGAGAGAATGAAAAAAAGACTTTTTGGCCGGGAATATAATAATAACTCGTTTGGAGTACTCCATTGGACTCCATGGGACTCCATGGGACTCCATTGGACCATCGATCAACTTCGAGTGCCCGTACTTCAATTATGCGTAATTTAAAAGAAATTAATGTCGTGCAAAAAATTACTTTTCGGTCTTTGGTTTTGGCCTTTTTCACCGCTGCGTTTTCATAAACTTTTTGGTAAAAACAACATTTAACAGCGGCGGACGCGCAAAATGTATAACTGCGCTCGGGTCCGGGCCACATAATCATAATATTTATAGTATTGGCATTAAATGCCGGTCGCGCCCAAAAAACACAAATTGGAAAGGAAAAAATTACTTCTTTTATGCGGCGGATGAAGTCCCAAAAATTCCTCAATTAATGTTCGTACCTGAGAGACTCCATCCAGTATTTGGCCAAAAGTTTTCTCTTTTCTCATTTTTAGTTGAGATATTAACATAAAAAGTTTAAGAATCAGTTTAGGATATCTAAGTTCGAAAGCAAACCTTTATCCGAAATCAGTTTTTGGAATCGGAGATGAGAAACATGGCCCCCGGGTGGCAGTCAGCATTTCTCTCCCTCACTTGGCCATATCTCAATCTGGCCATTTCTCATCCTGGTGGCCAAAGTCGATTGCTGCTATACTTGTTGGCTTATTCCCGAAAAAGAGCGAAAAGAAAACAACATAACCCTCAATTATGATATATATTTTATGAGAGCACTCGAGGAGCCAACTGAAACTGAGAAAGCCCTTTTGCCGGCCTTCTTTCCTTGCTATAAGCCAAGCCAAGACACACCGACAACCCACACAGGGTATAACAATAAAATAAAGTGCAGTTAACACATGACTTGGCGCAAATAGTGTCACATTTTGATAAATGACACTCGTTTGTCAAGCGGCCACCACATCCATATCCACAGCCACTTTCGGCCCAGATATTTGCGGTTAGCGACCTCTCTCTCTCTCTCTCTCTCTTTCTGTGTAGCCAAAAATTACCCCCCAAACAGAGCGCTTAAGCCAGAAACGTCTTGTCAAGTCTGGGTTCTCGTCAGTCTGGCCTGACTCTTTCGAAGGTGTTTGGAGTGAATTACACGCCCCTTAGAGCCAGAGGAGCAATCTTGACGGATGGGCCAAGAGCCAAGCTGAACCAAAAAAAAGAAGGCCTCGACCGAGGGACAGCTTTATTATGTCTTAATTCGTACAAGCCAAGATCCGCTGTCCAATCCTCTGCAGTGGGTCAACTTTCGTTTCGGGGCGTGTTAGCCCGTGCTTTTGCTGGCCAGAGCTGTTAAAAATATTGAATTAAATTTGCCGGACGCGCAAATTAATTTCCGCATAATGCGTGGGGCAAGAAGTTTGGATGTCTTGTAATTTCTTAATATTGAACTTGCACTGCACCCATGTAGGAACTCGGGGGTATGCTGGCCACTTTTCATTAGGTGGTCTCTCTGGCTGTTCTTATGGGCGCGGCTGGTTGGTTGGCCAAAACTTTATTTACCGCTAGAACCCCTGATCAAGGGGGTCCAAGATGATCATCTGCCTTGGCCGTGGCCGTTGCTTTTGCCTTTTTCTGGGTAGGTGTAACCATAAAGTTCGCGCTTGCAGGCCAAAGTGAAAGAACGAGTTTTCAGCAATAACAATTACAAACACTTAAGCCCGGGCCGAACTTTGTTGCTTTCTGGGGCGTGGTTGATTTGTCAGAAAGGCGTGCTTTAGGCCAAGACGTCCTGTTCGCTCACCTCGAAATGGCTAAGAGAGAGAGAGAGATATCCATGCATTATGCAGAGAGATATATGCATTTCCGAAAAGCCATAACATTTAATTTCCAATAGAGTATCCCCAAAAGCGCTGCCATAATCCCTACTTTCAGCCCGGTTATGACTCCGAAAGTGGCACAAAACCAATGCAGTAGGCAAGCGGCAACACAATGCATCCACTATTTGATAGCCAATAAATTTGAACATTAGCCAGGCCAACCTGCTGCTGGTCTGGCATTGTCAATGTCGCAACGTGTTAAAAATAAACGTTTGTAAAATTCATCGCTCTAATCCAGCATATCATGATAAATTATGACTTAAATCAGCTTTTGTCACATTTTCAACTCATCGTCAAGTCGAAAATGAACAGAGGAAAATTTGTCATAGGCTAAATAGTTTGAGAGGTGTTGGAAATTATCCGGTCTGCGGGAAAAGGTGTCACATGATTTGGTATGCAAATAAACTGATGCTCTATGGAAAACCACAGACAATGGTTGGGTTAACTCGAGTTTGCTGAGGTAATCAGTCAAGTTGGCAACCTGAGAGGGGAAATGTTTCCTTAGCTAGAAGTGGCAAACATAGAGAAAAGTTGTTTCAGTCTGCAGAACCATCTTAGCAATCAATAACCATCTTAAATAATTTTAAAATACTTTTAAATTTAAATACAAGCAACTTAATAGCCTTTTAATGATCCTCTTTATATACTTTTTCTTCCAGTGCTTCTGTTGCCCATTCACAAAAAGCGCATCGTCTTTTCTTAAGCTTACAAAATGATGCATTTTCCTATGCAACAGTCAGGCGGCAACGACATAATTTAGACTTTTCGCCCTGGCAGGCCCAATCCCTCCAGCCACCCTGCCCACCTCCCTCACCCACTTTTCCCCTAAGAAAAAGCCAAAAGAAAATGCTTTTTCCTCCAACTCGACTCCCGTGTCCCATTGTCTGGTGAATTAAGTGCAAACATTAGCAGCAAACAAAGCCCAGTCGGGATGATGACGTTGGAGGAGACCCTGCTGATGATGATGATGATAATGATGCTGATGAGGATTGTGTTGCGGAGAAGATGATGATGATGATGATGAAGACGACGTTGGGCGGAGCTGATAATACCCCATGGACTTTACACCTAGGCAAATGGAACGTGATAGAGCTTTTTCTCTCTTTTCAACTCCGCTGCTGCTGCAAATGATTATCAATCATTTTGGGATTAAAATTCCTTGTGGTGTTTTGTCACACATTTCGTTTGTTTCTCCAGGAGAGTGAGATATACTTAGCATCGCTATATGTGTATATATATATATCAGATGTGTCTCGGATCGTCATCAATATAAACTGCAGCGGTATTTAGCATAAAAAAGTCTTTTAGTGCCCTCGAATGTTGCAGGTGTCCAGGCCACAAATCTCCGGCGGGAAAAGCAAAATCTATAGTGCAAGATGCAGATACAGATGCAGATACATCTGAGATATATATATAGATATATACACCTACAGGGTTAAACACAAAAAGAAGTGTTGCCTGACAATATTTTCCCGCTGGCCGATCTGTTAGCCGTTTGCTTTTGTTTCGGTTTTTGTTTCAGTTTCAGTCGAAGTCTTTGAAACGATTCTCACGTCTGTGTTTCTCTTGACAAGTGGATTTAGCGGCATTGACGTATGGGCCTAAAGATAGTTTGGACTTTTCCTCAGCTGTATGTGCTGCTCTAAGTTGAGTGATGCTGCTAATGGCGGGTAATTAATATTGTAACGGGCCAGGCATTCTCAATCGGAGAGCAGATTTCGCCGGCTAAATGGCCGGCCATGTGACCCAGGGCGTTTGACTTAATCCGGATCGTAAATTGAACTGCCCACAGAATACCATAAATTCGGCCAATAAATAAGCCCCCTTCTAATACCCAGGCCGAGATCAGAGCTCCAAGCTCTAAGCTCTGTGCAATGAACGATTTCATAACCAATTATTGTACAGATTTATGGTGGACCCCCGTCGGAGCCAGTCGACGATTCATGTCAAGGCGTTGGCCTAAACAATTAAACTGGCCGGCTAATAAATACAAATACGAATACGAATACGAATTTCTATTTCTGGAGCGCGGAGTACTTAAACATTTCCGTAATACTACCAGGCCAGGTAGCAGGATGCCGGGATGGGAATAGGCTGGAAGTGGGATGGTTTCGGGCAGGTAAGCCAATAAAAACTGTCATGATTTACAGTTCGCACTCTTTACGATGCCCCGGCGGTCTC